CTAACACATTGCGCCACTGTTTCATCCTCTCTCCTTACCTCTGATCAAAACCTAGTGTAGCAACTGTCTACACTCACTGTCTTAACTCAGTAGTATAAGTTGAATCATAAGAGCAATCGTTTCTTCGTAACGAGTGAAAGATTAAAATTGAATTACTATTGAGGTTTTGGACATTTTTAATGCATGACGAATTAGTTATATCTCGTTGGGTGTCAAAATATATCAGCTGAAATAGATGGCCTACAATGCTATGGCTTTCTCCAATGACCGTTCAGCCAAAGGGGCTGTCAGCAAGAAATTGGTGAACCTACTTAATGGGAATTCGAATCCCTCCATGCTCAGAAAATTCCCAAACCTTTACCAAAATATTAATTAATATCGAGTGTCGATTAAACTATTGGTTTAAAATGGTCACGAAGGTTAAGTTGCATAAACTTTTTGGTTCAAGAATAGTGTACCCAGAATCCATCCGTCGATAAAATCATGACCAAAGACCCTAAGAATGTAAGAAAGTGACTGGAAACGTTCATAAAAATGCGAGTCAATTGGTCGAGAGGTGATATTCCACACGAATGAGCAGTCGATGAGCGCTGCGAGAAGAGATAATGACGCTTGAATGTTTTACGAGCGAGATGATCATCACATCATACAGAGCACATCATTTTTCTGTTCTAATTTCTGCCATATGCAATTATAAAAAATCGTTTCGAATGGCGGGAAAGTGTTTCTCTTCATTTGATGTGAAATGGGGAAAGAAGAAAACGTATGGATCGAATTTCCACCATGTCGAATTGGTCTTACTCAACTTCATACCTCATTCGTTCAATTATTCTGCATAATTCATCGAAATGCATCCGGCAAGCATGTAGATGCTCAAATTATTCCACGATTATATTTCATTCTTGAATGCATGTATATGCATTTCTAAGCCACGCTATGAGAAAACAGCTAAATGCGAATTTTATGCTTTTTCAAATTCTAGAAACGATCTGAGCTTCTGAAACGATATAAGAAATGAAATAATACGAGGGGCGTCAATGCACAAAAACAGAGTAATACAGTGGCCTTTGCAATTGCCTGCCCCCTCGCCTCCTACTCCTCGTGCATAAGCAAGTGTTTGCAGTGAGCGGCAAACCCTAGCTTGGAGTTGATATGTGGTTGTGTTTCATCTTTGGCACTACTTCTTATTTGGGTCGTTGCCTTCCCTATATTAAACGAATAAGAGGCTACACTTTAAATGTTTATGCAAGTACCGTCTGATTCTCAGATAAACTATTTCTACATTGTTTGCCTAATGATCTGTGTTTTCAATTTATGCTATTAGTATGCCTTACTGTAGGAATAAAAGTTAAAATACTTTTTTGTACTATGCTTCCCCCGCCGTTAGGTTTAAACTGATTGAAGTTCGCAGTAACATAACATATCAGTAAGTTGAGTGCCTCACAACCATAACCACCGTTCGAAATCTTTTAATGTGGTACAGCAAGCACAGGGTTACTATTTCTGATGAAAGAACAACTCTAAGATTTCTTGATAGCAAGTAGGGGAAGTCATGACAAAAACTAGCTGTTCAACCAGCTTTCAACAACTTTGCCAGTTTCATCGCCAAAAGACCATTCACCAGCTCGGCGTTGCTCTTTTTCATCGGCGCTGAATCTCTGCTGGCCAGTCTTATTTCCTCTGCATAAATCGGGTATTCATCGTGATTCTAAAATTAGATGCAAATTAAATGTTGCATCACATAATGTTCATAATTTGATATTGACATTTACATGTGGTTATTTACTGACGTTTATGAGACCGCTTTGGTCCCATTTCTGGTTATCAAATCTCATGAAAATGGAAGTGACGGTGTGACAGCGGATTTAAAGACGATGGTTGTTACAATTTTTATGAAATCTGACCAGACCGAGTGTTTCCTTTAATGGAAATATTAAAAATGGCCAAACATGTTCAATTACACTCATCGTGGGAAACAAATCTATACGGTATATAGCAATGAAGCGCAACAAAGGATATGCAGACAACTTATAATAAAACGAAACAAAGCTCATTTACGTGGAAACAGAAAGGTAACGGCAATAGAGGGAAAAGCAGGCAGGTTAACCAAATATCAACAAGAAATTATGCTGAAGAACTGTAGCCTTGAAAAATAAAGAGAACATTGCACCAAGTTGGAACCCTGACTGCTGTGCATTGCTAAGCGAAATGTTTGTCTGAAAACAAAGTTAACCCTCACCGTTCCGCTGGATGACTGTGGGAAAATGGATACAAAACCTGAACTAAATTTCCGTTTAATAGAGACGATTAAGCAAGGCCAATCATCCAAACCCATAATTCAGGTGCTGAATTAATACCTGAAAATCTTTTACTACAACGTATTTTCACTTTTACGTACACTAGGCAGTCCTTTCGTTATAGTGCACTTTAGAAAACCAATCAAGTACAATCTGATACGCTTGTTAAAATTTGCTAAATAGGGTCATTATTCAGCCTCGTATCGTAAGCGGGCATAGTTGTCCCGGCAGCATGTTTATGAATCTCCTTCCTGCAGCACCTTTCGAGGGCAATGCATCAGCATTTACGTCAGCATTTGTCAAGATTAAAACTACTAATTATGTTTTAAAGTCTTTTAAATTGGAAGGTCGCTACAGGGAGATTTCTAAATCCTGCTATTGCTACCATTTTGCCATCGAAGTTTTTGAGCAGGCATTCACTACTAAGACGGTGCCTGGTTCGACCATTCGCTCCATGTTCACGTTTACGCGATTTTCAGGTTCTCAATTTTATTCATTCATTTGTGTATGTTGCATGCACTACTGCAGTAACTTCTTCTATTACAATTAATATAGAATAATAGCTTCCTGAACAGAAAGACTGAGACCACAGTGATGAGGTTGAGTATTGAACAACGATAAAAGGAAATGTTTACTACTGTTTACACCAAAGTAAATTTAGAAGCAATCGATTAAGAAGCTGTAGAACTCACTCGTCATGTCAGTGATATCTCTCAATATTATACATTGCGTAAGTCCAGGACAAAGTTTGTACTTATCTCGCATTCACAGCAAAACAATCAGCTTGCATACCTTTAACTTTTACCTGATTACTGTAGTTCAGTCATTGCAATATATAAAAAAAATTTGCATACTTAATACTGCTGCTAGTTAGTGCACAACGAACCTTGATAAATCTCCGACCATCCCGATCATCCCGATCTGGTGTGTACGAGCGAACCGTGTCGATCCACGACATAAGGAACCACGCCAGTGCGAAGACCATCCACCTGTGAGGCATTCTTTCCAATTTGATGAAACCGTCGTTGTTCGGTGCTCTTTATAGTTGAAACGAATGTATGCAAAAAAGATACTGTATACTAATTATCACGTCTTTGAAAATCTTTTAAGCGTCTGCATGCAAATCGCTCGATCGTTCTCTGCAAGAACGATGCCAGCGAAGCGACGTGACCAAGGAAAACGAGGAGATGAGAGTTCGTTCTTTCCAACCCCTCGTCTTCCAAGGGCGCATTCGAATGATGAAAGCGACATGCAAATAAGACACTTAGGGCAATATCGATCGTTCTTGTCATTTTAATTAATCTCAATGAGTACCGTATGGAATGCACAATCGTTTCGCTGACCAATAATTGTTAAACCTGGTGCGGCGTCGTCGAATTTCAATGACCTTCTTATGCTTCTGACAACAAGCGTGACTTTTTCTTTCGCTTGAAGCAGTTGTGCGTCCTAATGCCTAAATTAAGATTTAATTCTTTCTGACACTTTCCATGCTTTGTATTTTCACCTTACTTAGAAAAGATTAAATTGCATGTTACAAAGTGACTGCGCATCAATAATGGCATTCGCACTATTTAGTCGTTATAAAGTTCACGTCATTATCAAGCAAGAAATCACAGCGATGGGTCTCTAAAGATTACGCACTCAGTCTGACAGTATGGGAATTCTGTTTTTACGTTTTGGTGTTTGACTTTCATTTCGAATGGATGCAAGCTTGATAAGCTTTAGAAATGTGCGAAAATTCTTTGGCATTTCGTTCTAAGAAATAAAGCATTTATTTTTAAAATTTCAAGATTGATTTTTATTAATTTACGTCTCTGTTTATAATTATATTGTTCCAATTGAAATTTTCTGGTCATCAGTTGGATTTAGGTTTACTATAGTAACTTACTTGTACCTGAAAATCATCAGTGCTGCAGACAATTACCATAGTTGCCTTTGCCATTCGGTGACATTTTAAGGAAAGTCCAAGGTAATCATTTTGAAACTGCAGGAACCTTACTTTTGACCATGACATTATGTGCTTTGCTGTATCTTCAGGAGAAAGCATAGCAGGCTATTTACTGATCTGCAATAGTCAGACATTTGCCATATAATGTCCCTGCACAAAAAGAATAGCAGTAATGACCAAAGCTTACTAAAATGACTACTAACTAGTATTCCATCGCTCCACATTTTTGTCCTCGATAAGTTGATTGATTCTAAAAATGCACAGCTTTCAGGTTTTCCTTCATTCATTGATGTGAGGTGGAGTTAAAGAGAAAGTAAGTCGAATTTTGAATACGGATCAATAAGGCAAGGACCAAGGTTAGGAGAAAAAAAATCACACTACTGGCTGCAGTGGTCCTCAGTAATTGGCAAATAATAGAAATTACGTAATTCGTCTAATTTGGACAATTGCTTGTGTCAGACCGCTGGTCTGGTCCTGAGCTCGTTAAAAAGCGTCATGTGGGGTAGAGTGCATGAAGAGAAGCGCTGACATTCTTGACAATAGGAAATTAGAAACACAATGTTAGCTCGTTTTCACCAACTGCATTATATCGTTGTCAGACTAGGAAATTCATAAAAAAGGATAAGGAAATGCCACGAACGGAACTATGAAAAAAATGATATTAAATACCATCGAGACCAAGGTGTGAATTAAAAAATGAGAAAAGGCACGGTCCAATGACTTGCGGATAATCGACAGCCTTCAGCAATAGCGGATCGGTACTCAAGGGGCAGCAAGCACTCAATTGGAAGACCTCTTCTCAAATGGCATGATCAGCTGAAAGAGACGCATGAATGCTTGTGCCTGCAAATCGCAAGGAACAGACGAACTTGAGCATCGAGACTCAACAGTACCAATCGGCATTAATTACGAAAAAAGATCGGTCAGTTATTGATGCCGTCTATTCATTCGAAATGTTTGATACATGCAACGGTCCGCATGCATTCAGCTGTCAGCAGACCATCGATTGTCAACAGCGATTTATCTGGTTGCACGAAAACACAATTCAATAAATTCCTTGCTCAGCTGAATTAACCGCTGGCAAGACAACTAGATCGAATTCAGCAGCCAAAAGTCTAGTACAGTATACTCTGTTTCCACAGGGCCTAATGAAGTTGTATTACTGTTCTCTCGCTGGCTTTACAGTATAGGACATTGCATTCCTGATGCATGTGTGGGTGATGGCCTCTATAAATCACGTTCTGACACGCTTGCCAAATTCATTCGACAATTAATGCACTTGTTTCACGTTAAATGCAAGGTTTAAGTCTGAATATTTATTTATTCACCATTAACAATCATTTTGCTCGTGAGCGGCTCCAGATAATTTATTAATCGCTGTTGATCCTCTGTCAACAAAGCGATCTCCATAAGCTGGAAGGCAAGTCTGTGAAATTCAGAATACTGACAGGCAGTTAGGATTTAGCCATGGACTGAATCATTACGATTTTGTGTCGTTTAAAGACCATTTAATTTTCCCACCATCGACTGATAGAAATATGCTTATGGAGCATTCCAAAAAAATTGATATCGAAGTTTGTAATCACCAGGAGATGAGTATTCCGTACATTTCTGTGATTTCTAACATTGAACACTGTGTACAACACTATTTGTTTTAACACAGATGATTGACCAGTACCGAGCTTCTGATCTTCTTTATGGTGGAGAATTGCATTGACTTCAGAAGTATGAGTTTTACTACCAGCATGCGAACGAAATATCGAGTCTTGCGATTTTTAGCCTATTCCTGTCTAATTTTTAGGCACAGCACTGATCTCAGTGGTCAAGTTTTCAGTGCAAGGGCACCTGATGATTTGTAGGCTCGTCTACGTTTTGGTGGCTACTATGAGGTCTAATTTCCTGAATCATTTTGATGTGGTACTACCTCGCAAGGATGAAATGCGGATTGCTCTGCTCCAGGATGGAGCACCCATCGTCTTTCGAGTATGAATCTGATGTTCTCTCGATCGAACATCTCTTCGTTACGGCATGCTTAATCGCATGACTTCAGAGTCACCTGCAGACTGCACTCTCAAATAGCATATTTTGCAACCACCGCAAGTTTACCTTATTAATATCTTTCCAAGTTTGAATGCTGATCATCGCCATACCAATTTCTGCGGGGGTGGGGGGGCTGTCGGATTGAATTCGCTGAACTGCTGCAGCTTCATGAGCACTTTCGGTTTGACACTCTTTCAGCACAAACATCTCAGGATGCGAAATCCCTCACCTCAAGCCTCATTGCCAAATAATGCAAATGAATTTTCAGAATTTTGCGCAAGTGCTGGTTTTAACCTTAGCGCATATTCATGCGTTCTAAAATGAACAACTGCTTCCACAGTTTATGGAAAAACCAATGCATCTGATTACCCAGGTTCGCTATAGGGCGCAAGTCAGAAAATCTTAAATTTTGATTAGGGATGCAATTAAACAATATTTATACCATTAAAACATAAGCAGTTAGTTCATTTTTAGATTAGGTGGAAACCATAAGGTTTTTTTTCAATCAGGATTTAGATCATGTTTTTTTAACATTCTGCAATCTGCTCTCCATCACTTATTTCTTCCTTCTTTAATGGAAAAAAAAGGTAGCGGCAAATCCGTCAAATTCCTTGACAGGACCATAGCTGCGTTAACGTGTTCTCTTGAACAACTACAGTGCTCATGAAAGTCTGTCATTAACTGAGGTAGACGACAAACAAAACAATGGCAATATGGTGTGAGTGCTGTGTACCTGTGATGAAGTCACTGGTCCTGAAATTAACCTTCCATATGACTGGCACCTGTGAATTTCAAGAAGCAATGTTATACTGTAAGAATTCATGCTAAGATCGTCATCCCGAGAGCAGCCCATTTCCGGGTGTTCTTATATGGTCTCAGCACATTTTCTATCTCGAGGCTGCATCAGACTTGTTCAGACAGTACGATGTCCTCAAAGTGTCACAGACGAAACAAATCATGGAAATACCTTCATCGCGCTGAGGCAGATTTTCTTGCAAAGAAGAATATGGCCTGTCTCACAGCAATGAACGATGCCTAATGTCAACTGATGTATCGTTTCTAATGGTCAAACATTACGAATCCGGCTTGCTCATCTGTTTGAGCCTCGTTAGCTTCAGACAACGATGAGAAAGCACAGATTTGGTTTGACAGAATTCCTTTCGCATTCGAAAGCAGTTTTAGTCTGAAAGAAAGATACCAAAATTTTACAATCCCGGATGCAAGGTTCACGAGTCGACGTGCTCGTTGATCTGAAAGAAAGCACGCCGTTATTTTTTCACTGCACCATATACTTTCTGTGCAGGGAACGATAGCTACTGTGTAAAAACGAATTCAATCGCGGCGACATTTGATGGATGGTGCAAGAAATATAAAAACTAAGAGGTACGAGCGGCACGTGAACGGGAACTGACTGAGAAACTAGCAACCTTGACAACGCAACCAGCCACAATTTGGATATGATCTATAACACATGCTACTGAATAAGGCTGCGTCATCTCAAGCCTTTTTGTGATACTGGATAAGGCGATTTCTTGCCTTGAAAGTTTGCTTTTTAGAAAATGTGATCCTGGAGCATTTGAATATTTCGACAGTCGAAGTAAAAAGCGCATTTTCAGAAATATAATTATTATGCAAAATTTGTATATTATTTAAGGCTATTATTAATTCATATGCTGTGAACAAGCTTTCGACGGAAGAACTTGCCAATATTTTGCGTCGCTGCAAACCATCCTGCGTGGTTTGCTTCCACCTCAAAAATGTATAGAGATGCTCAAGAAGAAACGTCAATTCAGGACTGCCTATTTTTACTTAAAATATATCGATACCAGATTCAGACTCATTATTGACCTCATAAAAAACAACCGTCATGTTCTTTGTGAATGTGTAAGTAGACATCATGAAGAAGATTTGTTCCGCTTTTTGGTAAAGAACATGGAAATGACCCCCCCCCCAATATCCTCATAACCTCGACATCTTTCTGTGCATTTCTGCTTGTCGCAATTGACCTGTCT